GGGTGTGGGTGTGGGTGTGGGTGTGGGTGTAAGTGTTACTCTTCGTATCATCGACACCCACACCCACACCCACACCCCACACCCCACACTTACACCCTCACCCACACCCACACCCACACCCACACCCCACACTTACACCCTCACCCACACCCACACCCACACCCTTACTGTATGTTTAAGAAAAAAGAGCTGTGGTCCCCACAAAGATATTTGAAAAAACTGAATTTCGAATTTCCACTTCAAACTTTGCATAGATATATGTCTCAATGAGAATAGTTTATTGTGAAAGTTTCAGCTATTTTCGCTGTTTCTATCATAAAATACAGTTATCTTAAAATTGATTCTAAACACCGACAGATGCAATGTTCTTATCTTAGACTAGGAGCAACCAAAACATTTGAAATCTTCACAATAAACTAATCTTACTAAGGCCTATCTATATGGAAAGTTTCGGGCGGAAACTCATAATTCACTTTTCCTCATGTTCCTGAGGGTACCACAGCTTTTTCCAAAACACATAGTAAAAGTGTTGTATCTCAGCAGCAAGAGGCTAGCGGCACGAAGTCTTTCCAGAGAACTAATAGCTCATTAGGGCCTAGTGTATGCACTGATTCAGTGAACACCAATATCAGTGCAGATAGTGGTACCAGTGCAGTCAATGTCAGTGTATGCACTGGTTCAGTGAATATTAATGTCGGTGTAGACACTGCAGTCAGTGCATTCAGTGTCAGCATGTCACTGCAAAAAGTTCGCTCAGTGTCAGTGCGTCCCTGCAGACAGTTCGCCCAGTGTCAGTGCGTCACTCCAGACAGTTCGCTCAGTGACAGTGCGTCACTGCAGACAGTGCGCTCAGTGACAGTGCGTCACTGCAGACAGTGCGCTCAATGACAATGCGTCACTGCAGACAGTGCGCTCAGTGTCAGTGTGTCACTGTCGGTAATTCACTGTTTTCACCGAAACTGCACATCCCTAAGCAAGGCCGGAACTCACTGAGACCGATATTCATCAATACTAGAACCGAGGCTAACCGCGAACGAGACGGAAACCTCGGCCGTGACGACTGAGACAAAGATGGTAAGTCTCGGTCTCGGTACACCCCCAGTCGTAACTAGTCACAGCTTCTATAACTTTTTCAATTCTATCTAAGCATTGTCCTTTTAACATGTCACTCTGCCCAGCAGTGACATCTTCAAACTTGAAGTAGCATCCTTAGGGGTCCCGAAAAAGCCATAAGGACAACGCTTACGTAGATTCCAAATGGCTAAAGGAGCCGTCCCAGTGTAAATCGACAAAATTTACGTGGACCACCTCCAGGTAGGATGCAAAAAGTCACAGGAATCACCTTTAGATAGGGCGTACGGAATTGAAGGGGCTACTCTTAATTACGGCGCAAATAATACTAGTGGCTGAATGCAGGCAATCTAGCGATTGTGGACAAATCAGTGAATAGAACTGTTTCAGCAGTTCATTCGTTCATTTGATCTGAACTACGATCTGAGAGCTGTTGTAGTCCTAGTGAGAAAGTGGAAATATATCGATGAATAGAAGTAATTCCACCATCAATTTCTTTATTTCTTCCTTATTACTTTATTAACTTTCCTGGCTTTTAGTTAGTACTATTAATTAGAAATAACAGTTATTACTTATTACCGGTAATAGTAATGTGCTACCCCTGCTAGACATATATAATAAGATGCTACCTTTGTTCCTTGGTGGTTTGCGGTAGCAAGATGGGCGAGTTTAAGAAACAAATATTCGGAAACTATGATTTTCCAAACTTTAATGAGCCTATTCTAGCACTTATTGTCAATTCATCGAGTGACAAGTATTTAGATACATCGATTGAATATATTAGATTAAAAATTGTATGAAATACTATAATGTATTTTTATATGAATGTAACTAAAGTAGGTTCATTATTACTGATTTCTTCCATATTCTATCTAGAGACGAAACCCTCACGCTTATGGGCACTCCTGAGCGTAAGCTGTGCACCCCTAATCCAGCAGGATCCATATTTTTTACATTGTTTGAATATTGCTGTAAAGCTAATCAGTTTTTGATGGATTGTGGTAGGTTCTGATGCATTTAGTAGATTGAAGTAAGTTCTAATAGATTTTCGTACATTCCAGTCAATCTATTGCGCAATCTAATACCCTTTACCAGGATCGACAGGATCCAACAGGATCCAATACGATCCAACAGGATCCAACAGGATCCACAGGGTCCATCAGGATCCACAGGATCCTGTAGGATCCAAGATCCTGTAGGATCTAAGGATCCAGGATCCGCTTTTTCCCCCTTGCCTTTTACTATAAGAGCCCTATATAATCGGACTTTTCAGCACAATCAAAATTTTGATTTTTGACCTGAAAGTCCGCCTACATTAAGACAAACGTACCTACACAATCTCAGGATTTTTATAGACATCCAGAAATAATATAATATGCAAAAAAAAGCTTCTTCAAGGTAGCATTCTGATATCTTCCAGATTATTTCTCGAAAACTCGACACTTTCTAGGCACGTTAGGCTCACTACGGTTTCAATGTGGGCAAACTTTCCAATTTTGATTGTGTCAGAAAAGTCGGGTTCTATAGAGTTCTGACAATAAAAAATCGATATCTCAATTAAATTGCAACTTGTGCCTGCATTCTTTCCGTGTTTGTTTTAGCCTATACTTTTCCCAGCAGTGTTCGACTGCCGTGAGTTCTGAAATCTTGAACAACTCAAGGAGCCCTGGTGGGTGTGGGTGTGAATGGCTGTTTTAGTCACCCACTCACTCCCGTCTCATCCACATCCACTCTAGAATGAGAATATGAGTATCAGTAGGGCTGGGACACGAAGAAAATACGCACAGCCGCACTCAGACACACATATTATGCTTACAAGGTAGCCACCACACTTTCACCAACACCCTCATCCACATTCTCAAAATAGTCAAATTAAATCGCAAAAGCCAAAAACGTTTTTCATAATCTCACGAGGGAACATTTTCAGGTGCTAAAAAGCTTTTCAACCGGGGATGTGATAACTAGATAGGGCATAGCTAGCAGTGATACACCCTAAGTTAGTTCGCGCCCAAGTTGAGATTTGGCTGAGATATCGACTTTTTACTAGAATTTGCCTATGGGACCGCATCTTTCCCATGAAATCAAAGTTTTGAATTTTGAGGTGAGACTTTGCCCATATCAAGGCCTCGGCTAGGGTAGTTCATCCACAAAGTTTCAGAATTTTCAAGCTAAGCATTCCCGAGATTTGAGTCTGTTAGTATAAACACAGTTTTTTACGGATATTGCTGTATGCATGGATATTTTGAAAACATTATATCTCGGGAATGCTTAGCTTGAAAATTCTGAAACTTTGTGGATGAACTACCCTAGCCGAGGCCTTGATATGGGCAAAGTCTCACCTCAAAATTCAAAACTTTGATTTCATGGGAAAGATGCGGTCCCATAGGCAAATTCTAGTAAAAAGTCGATATCTCAGCCAAATCTCAACTTGGGCGCGAACTAACTTAGGGTGTATCACTGCTAGCTATGCCCTATCTAGTTATCACATCCCCGGTTGAAAAGCTTTTTAGCACCTGAAAATGTTCCCTCGTGAGTTTGATATGAGGAACAGATTCATGCAGAAAAGGATGGATGTGGGTTCCAGTTCGTATTACCTTACCATGCACACCCACACCCACCTACTTGACCACACCCACACATTTTGCCGCTGGACACTTCGTTTTGTGTTGTTGGACAATGAAATTGTTAGAACTCATGACTTACGAGGGAGACTTCTCAGATGTCCGACTCGAATTTCAATGATTTTTCCCTATAGATACTACATAGTACCCTAGTAAAAACCCTAAAAGGATTTGGCTTCCTATTGAGATTTGGCAAAACTATCAAATTTCCAAGAGATCCTTGTGGGGCACCTTAGGTTTCGAAAAAATCGCATCTTGGAATTTTAACCTGAAGCTGTGCCCATATAGAGACCTCAACTAGACTAGTTTACATAGATAAACTCATAAGTTTTGAACATAGTCTCGTCGAGATATGAAGTTTTGAAAAAATACATGCAACATACACTCTATACGAAAGGATTTATGTCTTGAAAGTTCCATATCTCCACGAGACTTTGTTCAAAACTTATGAGTTTATCTATGTAAACTAGTCTAGTTGAGGACTCTATATGGGCACAGCTTCAGGTTAAAATTCCAAGATACGATTTTTTCGAAACCTCAGGTGCCCCACAAGGATCTCTCGAAAATTTGATAGTTTCGCCAAATCTCAATAGGAAGCCAAATCCTTTTAGGGTTTTTACTAGGGCACTTTGTAGTATTTATAGGGAAAAATTCATTGAAGTCCGAGTCGGACATCTGAGAGGTTCCCTCGTTAGTTGCACATACACAAGCTTGACAACTAAGAATACCTCACATATGTATTAACTTTCAATCAACTCTATCGTAAGATTATGGGGAGTATCTTTTAAGTATTACGCAACTTTTTCCCTACACTGCATATATAGATCAACATTTTAGAAAATTGCTTTTACAAATCTACGCTGCAAATATTGATATCATCATTTACTGTTTCCAAACAGATATCAAAATGACCGATGAACGGCAACTAATATTATTTAATGCAAATCATCAAGCTAAAATAACAAAAATGGTCAAAGGATTACAATGTGATGGTACTTTAACAGCATTCAAAAACTTATCCGAAACAATCAAAATAGCCACCGGTATGCTTCCAGAAAAATTTATTCCTGTTTTACAGCAAGTTTGTGCTTCTTATTCGACAACAACAAAGACGATCAAAGTTGGTTTTGCTGATTTATGTGCGATACTCTCAAAATTTGTGATCAAAAGTTGGCGTATCATACAACGCGGTATGAGTAAAGAAGATGCAAATGCTCTGATAACTCTCGGAAATCAATTAAACACAGATTTTAAAAATGAATTAGCCAGATTTATTGAATCATCAAGATCTGATTTAGTTAATATTTATTCTCAATTATTGCTCGAAACAGCAGGTGATAAAATTGCAAATTTGTTAAAGGAAAGAGACATATTAGAAGTTGATTTATTGCGACGATCAGATGAATTAACAAATAAAGCATCTGAATGTGGTACAAATCAAGGAAAAATTGATTCAATTGAATACGAAAAACAAATTTCTGGTAAAGCCATTCGAGATTCACAGACCGCAAAATTAGACTTGAAAACAGAAATAGCCAGATTAAAAGGACAAATTAATGACTATAACAATAAAGTGAAAGCACATCGTGATTATCATTTCGAAGAACGAGGATCATTTAGGATATTTTCGTGGAAAATACGAGATGTTCATGTTGACAATGGCGAAAGAATTGCACGAGAAAATCTCGATAGATTACTTGATCGAATCCGTGTCCTTGAAGAACGATTCGAAAATTTGTCGTCAAGTGCTTATTTAACTAAACAAATGGAAGAAGCAACGGCTAGCTTGCCAATTTATGAAACAAAGAAAATTCGGTTAGAACAAGAACATAAAGAACTTAAAAAATTGTATGATCAAGCTGAACAAAAATTTCATGTTGTTATTCAAGAGATTGATAAAATTTGTCGATCGGCTGGAACTACCAGTATCAAAAGTATACAAGCGGTGGATGAAGTATGTCGTGCTCTTCAAACTGGATCAGAAGCTCTTATATCAACTTGTGACAAAATACGAACTCATCTAGCGGCAATTGATCTTGATCCAAATGCATTAGTTGATTCTGTATTAGACGCCATACAATTAATAAATATGGCTGATGAATACAATGATACGGCTAAAATTAAAGATATTAAACGAGTATTAGCATTAGAATAACATTCGTATAGTTAACCATGTCTTATTGAATTGTGCATGATCTTCACATTAGTGTTCTGTTGATCGTTTATTGGGTATGATGGAAAAAGGTAGAAAGGAAAAATATCGAAAAAGAAAAATGTCGAAAATAAAAATATCGAAAACAAAAATAAAACAAATGTAGATGGAAAGAAATATTGTAAACGAGAATATATTGAAGTACAAATTTCCCCTCCCTCATCTTCAATCTTAAATGTTCATCTTCACCTCATATTCTTGTTTTCGACATTTTTATTTTCGATATTTTCCCCTTTCGACATTTTTCCTTTCTGTCTTTTTCCATCCATTCGTTTATTGTTCCCATGTTGTGTGTCCAATGTTTCTTTCTTGACCGATTCATCAACATAAATTGGATTGAAAATAAATCGAAACTGCTAAGAGAATACATCGATATGTGACTGGACACTTTCGTTGTAACATAACTACTGTTGGATCCAAACAGCAGTGCAATCGGTGAGGGGTGAGAAGAATAACAATCCACAATACATGTTTCTACCTTGTTAGGGCGTCATCAGGTGGTTTAATGATTATATGTCTTATAGATGACTATTCAAAGCGAATTAGTCAGACATATAGATCGTTTTACTTTACACATATCTTTAGGGGTTTGTGTGTGGGTGTGGGTGTGGGTGGGTATGGGTATGGGTGGATTAAGTGAAAAAAATATTCTAACACCCACACCCACACCCTTCCAAGAATGGTGGATGGCATTTTTAAAGAAATCCGACAATAATTGAAACAAAAAGAGTTTATTACATGACAGTTCTATACGTTTTGTCTTTTCCGATTTAATGTGTCTCAAACTTCTGTTCATTGTTATCTGCTTTAATTGTTTTCTGTAGTCACTAAATGATCTACGATTTCAGACTAATAAAATCGGAGATATTGAAGCATAACATATTACTGATGAGTTGAGGGAAAATAGAGCGAGCAATACTTGTAGACGATTTTTTAAGGAAAGATTCTCTTTCAATTACATGCATTGGTACAAAATTCTTCATAACCAATGAACAAAGTCAAGAATTCTGTAGACAGTTTCATAGGAGTCATTTTATCAAGATTTGCATCAATACCCAAGTTTCATTAGAGTCTAATACGCACTTGAAAGAAATCGATAGTACTTAAATTTTCACTTTGTTGCAAATAACTTTTATGTTTTGCATAGAATTTTTTCACATCATATTTTGACGTTTCTCTCAAAAACAAAATTAAATTTCATTTTTTTTTCATCGAGAATCTAGCGAATATGAATTTGGATCACACGTTATATGAAGATAACTATTAGTTCTATTATAAATCTTTCATACTGATGAAAAGACGCGTTTTTTTGCTCATTAATGATTCAAACAATTGTTTTTGATGAATTGCCATTGCGTGAAAGTGTCGGTGTGGGTGGGTGTAGGTGTGGGTGAGGGTGTGTGGGTGTGGGTGTGGCTGTGGGTATGTGTGGGTGTGGGTGTGGGTGTGGGTGTGAGTGGATGTGGGTGTGGGTCTGGGTCTGGGTCTGGGTGTGGGTGTGGGTGTGAGTGTGGGTGTGGGTGTG